TCAATCTGATAACTATCTCAGTTATTTTAGAATGCACACTGAACTATGAAGTTAGCGGACCTGTAAAATCATCATTGGTAAGTCCATGCCTGATGAATAAACGCTTGATATTTCTTCTCTCTTCTGTTCTTTCTTCTTTGTCTTATCTATCTACACATATATTCTGGTTTCTATTTTAAACAGAATGATATGAGTTAATCAATAATTCAGTCATACAAATGTCTAAAAATGCCAGTCCATGTCCCTTTAGGAGCCACAAATGTAATAAACTCAATTGAATCAGCATGCTTTACTACTTGGTTTAAGTCATTCCTCTGGGTAAGTAAAAACTGGTTAATTGCTTCTTGCAAGGTTCCAATAATTCACTTCCTAGTATATCCCACTGTGTAAACAGAGAACAGCAAAGGAATTAGGCAAAATCTCCTGACTTGAGTACATACGAAAGGTTCTACAGAGAAAAGGTAGCAGTTTAAATAAGCCAAGAGCAAAGTACTGAGCTCAAATAAACATTTACTATAACCTTCTAAAATAAAATCTCAGTATAGAATTTAAGAAATATGTAAGAAAATTTCCTAGGATGAATGTCTCAACACTGTGACTAGATGTCTCAACACTGACTAATCTCTTTGTAGAAGAAAGTGACCTCTCCTTCAGTTAAAAAAAAAAGACAAAAGAACATCTGTTATTTATTATAAGATAGGAACCCGAACATTGCCAGTCATCATATCTTGGCTTTCTTACTCAATAATCTCCTGGATCTTTCCTTTTTAAAATTTCCCTTCTTTTCTTTGACTCCATAAAAGGCAGTATATTATAGTGTGAGAGGACTTCAAAAAGCCTGTGGGGAAATGGAACTAAAGTATGAGTTCATTTTGGTAAAAAAAGTTTTGAAATCCATGTATAGCTTTTTCATAATGCCTATTTTGATAACCTTTGTGAAGGGTTCAAATCCTGGCTTTACTGCTAATAGTTACATAGCATGTGACACATTACTTGGCTTCTCTGTGCCTCAGTTTACTACCTATAAAATCAGGGATAATAGTGACACCTACCTCACAGGATTATGATCATTAAATAAGTTCTGTATGTAATATTTGTAAAGTGCTTAAAACAGCACTAGTTGGGGCCAGCAGGTAGCATAGAGGTCAAGGGTGCTGGACTCCCACATGGCTGACCACAGTTGGATTCCCGGACTTGGCAATTTGCTTTCTCACTTTAGCCTTTTCTTTCTCTCAGTCTGTTCCACTCTGGTCAAAATAAAATAAATAAATAAAAGTTAAATAATTCTTTAAAAAAGAAAAAAATAAACAACAGAGCCTAGTCATGTCAAAAGTTAGTGTTGCAATCACCACTAACACCTCCACCATCATCATTTTATCTCCTTGACCAAGGACACCAGATGTGTGTATGCTACGTTATTTTTTGCCCTCTTTTTCTTTTCTTTTCTTTTTCGAAGGTTCTGCCATAGGCCATGTGTGCTCACCAGAAAGAGAGTGTGGGAAGGAAAGTGAGAAATCACCCCTTAGGGGGATGGCCATGCTGCGATCCCTTCTCTTTCATTTCCTCCTGGGATTTTAGGCATGCTCACAGTGCCTGGTGTGATTTCCAAACCATCACATCTGTGACTCAAACCAAAGTCAGTCACAGGGGAGTCTAGTACCTTAACCACCATGCTACTACTAGCCTGTTTGTCCTCTTTTGCATAAATTTGTTCATAATGAAGTCTTGTATTATTAATTTTTCTAGTGTTTATATTTACACATAGAACTCTGAGGATAAGAACTGTGCTCTACATCTTTATGTCATTCAAAGAATGCAGCCTGGTGTAATATTATATTACTTTATAGTATACCTCCCACCCTGCCATTATCACACTGAACTCCGTTCCCTGAACACATCAGAAGATCCTTTCGTGATATCATGCCTATATATGTATATGCTATTTCCTCTGTCTGAAATGTTTTTCTTTTCCCCCCATTATCCTTCCTTCAATGCTTGGGAAATTATTTTTCCCTGAAGATGCAGTTCAGAATTAATTTTCTAGGTTAACACATCCCAAACAGTAGTCTATGGACAGATACTGATCCATGAATTCATTTTCACTGTCTATGGTAAAAATGTCAGCCTTCACTCTGAAATGAAGACATTCCTAGTTTGTGTGAGTACACATGTGTGTCTGTTTAAATGTCTTTTATTTAATGAACTAATTAGAATAATTTGTCTTGTTTGCCTGTTTTAATCCTCTGATTTGGCAAATTTGAAGGTTGTTAACCTTATGGCATTCCTCAAGTTTTTACTGACAGGTCTGTGAAATCCAAGTGCCTTACCAAATGGCTTCTCCAAGGGGTAAGTAATCCAAACTCTACTTTCCTGCTAAATTAAGCAATAGTCTTATAGTAATTAATGAGGAAGAGAGGTTCAGATGTGCCGCGTGAGTTGTGCTATGTGAGCTGTGCTATGTGAGGTGTGCCATGTGGGATATGCCATGTGGGTGTGCAACACAGGATCTGCTTCTTAGTACCTGCCATGCAGGGTATGGCACAGACGTTAGGGTTAGAGTTAGTGCCACATAGGATCTGCCACACAGTTCGCCATGTGGGATTTGCTCCTAGGATCTGCTACACAGGGTCTCGCCCATGACTTGTGTCACACAGGATGTATCAGTCACATAGGTTGACCCATGTGAGATGTGCTCTGTGAGTTGTACCACATAAGGTGTGCCACATGGGGTCTGCCATGTGGGGTGTGCTACTTGGGGTGTGCCTTATAAGATCTAACACTTAGTATATGCCATGCAGGGCCTACCATGTGGGTTAGAATTAGGGTCATACAACACCTGCCACTTGGTATGTGGCTCACAGGGTTTGCCACATAGGATCTGCTCCTAGGATATGCCACACAGGGCTTGCCATGCAGGATATGCTATGCACAATGTACCATGTAGAGTCAGCCATGTGGGATGTGCCATGTGGTATGTACCACGTGAGGTGTGCCTTGTGTGGTGTGCCATGTGGGATGTGTCACATGAGATGTGTCTTGTAAGATGTGCTATGTGAAGTGTGTCTTCTGGGGTCTGCAAAGTGATGTGCCACATAAGGTGAGCCAGAGAGCCACACAGACTATGCCATGGGAGTGCCACAACATGTGAGCCAAGTGCAATGTGAGCCATGGGTCACATGAGGCATGATGCATGGGATGTGCCACATGGGATGTTCCATGTGAGCCACAGGCCACATGGATTATGCCACATGGGACGTGCATGTGAGGTTTGCCATATGTGCCACACAAGGTGTGCCGTGTGGGAAGTGACACATGAGCCACATGGGGTGTGCCATGAAGTATGCCACAAAGATGTGCCATGTGAAGTGTGCCATGTGGGGTGTGCCACATGAGTCACGAGAAGTATGCCATGAGAGGCATGCCACATGAACCATGGGCTTTGTGAGGCAGGCCACTGGGGGTGCCATGTGGGATGTACGACATGAGCCACGTGAGGTGTGCCACATGGCTGACCATGGTTGAGTCCCAGACCTGCAGGCTTGAAAATCATGCCAGAGATATGTATGAGTGCCCAAAAATCAAGGAAGAGAAAAGAAGAGAGTGGATTGCAGTGTGGCCATCTCCCCAGGGGGTGATTTCTCACTTTTCCTTTCACTGTCTCTCTCTCTGTCCCACTCCAGCAAGTACACACCCTCTGTGGCAAAAATCTATGAATCATTATCATTTTCATCCCAGGTGAAAATCAAAGGAAACTTGTGTATTATTTCAACCTTTAGAGTTTAAAACCATCTTAGCAGGATGATGTATCACCTTACAAATTCTAGATGGTTATTTGCAGAGTATATTGACCAATCAAATTGTGAATAAGGTAATATATATACTCCTAGTATCTCTAGAAATAATATGAGGAAGAACCCATCTAAGCACGATCACTAGAAAATTAATATGATTTCTCCCAAATGACTTCATGGACACCAAGTAATACTAATGACTGGGGACCAGCAGGTGGTGTAGTGGTTAGGGTGCTGGACTCCCACATGGTCAACTGTGGTTCGAGTCCTGGATCTGGTGGCTTGAATCTCACACTGGTCATGTGTGTGTGCATGTCTAGAATCCCAAGAGGAGAACCGAAGCATGGCCATCCCCCCTGGGGGTGGTTTTTCACTTTTTTTCCTGTCTCTCTGGCAAGTGCATGCACCCAATAGCAAAAAAAATCTTTCTTAAAATACAAGAGATAGCAGACTGGAAAGCTGTAGAGATTTTTGAACACCTAACATCTTTTGCATGCCTTTCCTAATTTGGTGACTTTCTCACAGAATGAGTCCTGTCTCTAAGGTCAGGAATCAGACATTGCGTTACCAGCTCCCTGGCACTATGCAACCTAAAATTCATAAATCAGACACAGCCGTAGCAGACTTTGTTCAGAGAGAGAAACATGAAGAAGAAAACCAGCTCTAGTGAGGGCGGCAAGGAAGAAGACACCCTGCTTTCAGGGCTGCTGTAATAGGAATTCGAGAACCTAGAGCCCTGCATTATGGTGAGGCTATTTCTCTGCACAGCTTCAGTGCTATGCGCAGGGCAGGGAGCAATTCCTGGAGTAATCTTGCTGGATTTGTTCTTGTTATAGCCTTTAAGTCTGACTCTAGCTAACCTGGAGATTCTATGAACTGGCTAATTTCCTAAAGCAAATTCCCTTTATGTTTCAACCATCTAAAGAGAATTCTGTTCTTTGCAACAAAGAACCCTAACTTAGATAGCAAGTGTTACCATAATCAAACAGGAAAAGAAAACCTTCACATTTTTGTGACATTTGGCTACAGGAAAAAAAAAAAAATCCAAAAACCCATTTGATCCAGAATAAAGAAACTAGCATGTTTGTGGACAAATTTACTTTAGGAGAGGTAAAAGCTGTTATCACACAGCGATAATATTCCAAAGGCATGGCTAATTATAAATATACATCAGAGAACTAAAAAATCTTGATAACAACGTGAACATACCATCTTTATCAGCAGTGTCTTGGGGCTTTGATTTCAAGGTGAAGATCTTCCGTAGCTTACAGTTAGCTGAGACGATAATTCCATCCAATGACTGAAAAGCTGCTCCTTTAAAAATTTCACTGGTGAATGCTACCAAGTCAATGCACAGATTGCACCACTGAAACAGAGAGAAGCAAGGAAGAGTAAGTTTCTTCCAGAGTCACGTAAAATGAGCACACCATTTACATGAAGGGAATTCATAGGGAATGCATGTTAAGAAAAAACTATGCATAGGAGGGACCAGCAGTTGGCGTAATGGCTATGTCGCTGGACTCCCACATGGTTGACCGCGGTTCACGTCCCGGACCCGGTGACTTAAACAACACACACCGGGCATGTGTGCGTGTGTGCCCAAGATCCCGAGAGGAGAATGGAGGAGAAGGGATTGTGGCGTGGCCATCCCCCCTGGGGGGTGATTTCTCACTTTCTGTCTCTCTGTCTCTGTCTGGCGAGTGCACGCGCCCTATAGCGAAAACCTCTCCCCTCCCCCCCCCAAAAAAAAACTGCATAGGATAGTTTACTCCGGGTGGTCCCACCGTTTGCAATGTATCCCTGACACAGGCATGGCTCCTGATAGCCCTGGGCTTGCTTCTTGCTGGCCCTGTGGCCCCTGTGCACATCTGCCTGAACAGGAGTGAAAGTAAAAAACAAAAGCAAAAACAAACAAACAAACAAAAACTATGCATAAATTTCAAAATTTCTTTGTACCAATATCAACCTGTACTTTAATTCCATTATTTTTCCACAAACATTTGGATGTCCCCTCATGTGTAGAAAGTCCAGAGAGTTGAGAAATTTTTTCTGGTTTGATCAGTCCTAACCCAATTTTCTCCCTTAAGCAAATCTGTTTTGGTTTAAATTTTACTTAAAATTATCTTGATTCTTCCAAAGAAATCACCACAACCTTTTAAACCACACGGTAGTCACCTGGCTGCAGAGTTCCCATCATTAAGACAAGGCTATGACAACTCTGGGAACTAACTCTGTATCTGTTGGCAGTTTGCTAGTGGGAAGCTAATTGCAGGTGCATTACACCACTTGTCTTGAAAATCAGGAATAAGTAGCCAATTGTTCCTTTAAGAGGACTAATCTGATTACAATTCACCACTTACATTTGTTTTTTTTTTTTTTTAAAGACAAGAATGAAATTAGAAGCTAGGTTTAAACTATGGCCAGTGCTGTCTATTTACAACCAATTAACCTATTGTACAGAAACAGATTTTTCTAAAGAAGTTGTAATTATGCTTGGTATTTTCCAGTTTTAAAAGTATTCTTACAGGGACTAATTTCTGCCCATTAAACAATTAGACCCCTCAATATTTCATCAAATAAATTCTCTAAATGCCCTGAGTTAAAGTAAAAACAAAAAAACTTTGCGATAAAAGTAAAATATATTTAAACTATAGGACAAAAACAAGTAAAATAAAGTAGTATTAAAGTCCATATGTGCCTCTTGTAAAGCATCAGGTTCTTCCTTTATTTGTTTAGAAATACAGTTGTTTTTTTTATTTTTTTTGGATGGCGGGAGAGGTTTTTGCCATAGGGTGTGTGCACTCGCCAGAAAGACAGGGAGAGATAGAGAGACAGAAAACGAGAAACCACCCCCCAGGGGGAATAGTCATGCCACATTCCCTTCTCCATTCTCCTCTTGGGATCTTGGGCACGCACACACACCTGGCGTCGACTACACGGGAGTACAACGACACAGCCATTACTCCAACTGCTAGTCCCAGAAACAGTTTATGTAAAAGTCCATTGTATATATTTTTTTAAAAAAGGCAAACTTGTTCTATTTAGGAATGTTGATTTTTATACAGAGGTGAGCCTGAGGTTTTCACAGTAGAAAAGTAAAAGAGATTGTAGCAATTTATTGATTAAAACCATGAAGATTATTTTCTTTGTAGATATCTCCACAGCAAAGTTATTTTCCCAAGCCATGGGAATACTCTGGTCTTTTGGGAGGGAAAGGGGCTTGATATAAATGAAGGTAGGAGGTGGAACTGAGTGTAATGTAATAATGAGAGTGACTTGACCAGCAGGCTATGGGGTGCTGGGGAGGAGTGGGAAGTGATGTGGGATGGGCCAGTAAGGCCAAGTTCCAGAGCAACTGAAGGATCAAGGATCAACTGCTTAAAGCATCACTGCAGTTCTTGAAAGCAGAATGTGCAGAAGCAGCGTACTAGAAGTCTGGACTCACCTGATGCAGTGATATTTTGGGATGCTAGAGTTGGGGTCAGTGGAACGAGGCAGGGCTGAGGCAGAAAAGAAAGAAGCCACTTACATTTTTTTTTTTTTTTTAAAGACAAGAATGAAATTAGAAGCTAGGTTTAAACTATGGCCAGTGCTGTCTATTTACAACCAATTAACCTATTGTACAGAAACAGATTTTTCTAAAGAAGTTGTAATTATGCTTGGTATTTTCCAGTTTTAAAAGTATTCTTACAGGGACTAATTTCTGCCCATTAAACAATTAGACCCCTCAATATTTCATCAAATAAATTCTCTAAATGCCCTGAGTTAAAGTAAAAACAAAAAAACTTTGCGATAAAAGTAAAATATATTTAAACTATAGGACAAAAACAAGTAAAATAAAGTAGTATTAAAGTCCATATGTGCTTCTTTTAAAGCATCAGGCTCTTCCTTTATTTGTTTAGAAATACAGTTGTTTTTTTTATTTTTTTTGGATGGCGGGAGAGGTTTTTGCCATAGGGTGTGTGCACTCGCCAGAAAGACAGGGAGAGATAGAGAGACAGAAAACGAGAAACCACCCCCCAGGGGGAATAGTCATGCCACATTCCCTTCTCCATTCTCCTCTTGGGATCTTGGGCACGCACACACACCTGGCGTCGACTACACGGGAGTACAACGACACAGCCATTACTCCAACTGCTAGTCCCAGAAACAGTTTATGTAAAAGTCCATTGTATATTTTTTTTAAAAAAAGGCAAACCTGTTCTATTTAGGAATGTTGATTTTTATACAGAGGTGAGCCTGAAGTTGTTTTCACAGTAGAAAAGTAAAAGAGATTGTAGCAATTTATTGATTAAAACCATGAAGATTATTTTCTTTGTAGATATCTCCACAGCAAAGTTATTTTCCCAAGCCATGGGAATACTCTGGTCTTTTGGGAGGGAAAGGGGCTTGATATAAATGAAGGTAGGAGGTGGAACTGAGTGTAATGTAATAATGAGAGTGACTTGACCAGCAGGCTATGGGGTGCTGGGGAGGAGTGGGAAGTGATGTGGGATGGGCCAGTAAGGCCAAGTTCCAGAGCAACTGAAGGATCAAGGATCAACTGCTTAAAGCATCACTGCAGTTCTTGAAAGCAGAATGTGCAGAAGCAGCGTACTAGAAGTCTGGACTCACCTGATGCAGTGATATTTTGGGATGCTAGAGTTGGGGTCAGTGGAACGAGGCAGGGCTGAGGCAGAAAAGAAAGACTAGTTCTCTGTCAGTCATCTCAGCATAAAGGAAGAGGACTGGCCAGAAGGCTGAGGCAGGAAGTGGAATGTATGAGACGAATCTAGTAGGTAACAGCACAGGTTGAAATACTTTGTATTCGTGAAATCCAGGTTATAGGACATGGAGGTGCTGGGCTTTCCAGCTATCCAATAGTGATAAACATTACTATTTTAGCATGATTACTGTTGTAGAACTGTGGTTCCTCTTTCTAAAGGACTTAACATCATGCCCCAACCCCAGCATCCTGCTGGTTCATCCCCTCATAATCTCTTTCATCTAGTCTCTCCACAATACTAAGGACTTACCAGCTGTTCAATACTGGGCCTGGCTCCAGGGATACAGATAGTGAGGTGACAGATCATACATTTTGGGAAGGGAGGAAGTCATGTGACATCTTAGTACAATTACCACAGAAGACATTATGGTGGGTGGGTGGGGACACTAGTTTAAGAAAGCATTCTAAAAACATTTTAAAAATTTTGTTGATGGTATTATATGCAAAATATAAGGCATAATACCAAAAGTCTTCTACCAAATACAGACCTTTGTTACCCTCTTCCCTCATCTAATTATACTGTTAACTTTGTTTCTCCTATTTTTTTAATTTGCCAGAGGGTACAGACACTTGCCAGAGAGAGACAGACAGACAGACAGACAAAGGGAGAGAAAGTGAGAGGGGGCAAGCACTCACTCATGGGGCATGGTCACACAACACAATCCCTTCTTTTCTTTTTTTTTTTTTTTGGAGAGGTTTTCGCTATAGGGCGGCTGCGCTTGCCAGACAGACAGAGAGAGACATAGAGACAGAAAGCGAGAAATCACCCCCCGGGGGGGGATGGTCACGCCACAATCCCCTCTCCTCCATTCTCCTCTCGGGATCTTGGGCACGCACGCACACGCGCCCGGCGTGAGTTTTAAGCCACCGGGTCCAGGATGCGAACCGCGGTCGACTACGTGGGAGTCCAGCGACACAGCCATTACGCTAACTGCTGGTTCCCACACCACAATCCCTTCTACTCCATTTGTCCATCCTGTTGTAACTTTGAGCATGCACACACATGTGCCTGGCTATTTCTCAAGCTGGTGAAGCTGAGATTTGAACCACATGGTTGGCTATGTGGGATCTGGCTCCCTTAACCACCAGGCCACAAGGCCAGTTTGCTTTTCTCCTCATTTTAAAATATCTTTCGATTCATCAATTTTAGTCATTATCAAATGATTTCATACTATATACCTAAGATTTTTAGCTCACGTACACACCTTACTTTCCCCACTTCATCCTTCCTGGGTAACTCTCATTCGCTCTCCTTTTTTCCTTAAAAATCTATATTCTGTTTTCCTTCTTGTGACTAAATACTGTACACAAGTGATTGCTGAGACAAGTGGTGCTCTATGATTACCTTTGTACTCCTTATATAACTTTTAAAATATGTTTACAGTTAGTAACTGCTTGTTTTATGTGTTTCATTTTGACCCTAAGTCTTCCCACATGGAGGAAAGGATTGAAGGTGACATTTGAGTTTGATTTTGACAATGAGAAGTCTTCTAAACCAAGGGAGGAATGGGACCCATTTCTGTCCCAGAGCCCCACCCCTGTAACTCTCTGTGTAAATGAACTTCCAGGTGTCTGCATCATAAGCTCTGCCTGCAAATCAG